TATACATATATATATATATATATATATATATATATATATATATATATATATATTATATTCCCTCTTGATAACTAATGAATAAAGATATTTCTTGGAAATTATTATTAAGATAAAGATTCTGATAATGATCGTTGCGGGAAACGATATAGTTCTCGGAATTGTCTTTATTCTATTCTTTCATGAAAATATATGTTAATACGAGGTTATAGGTTAATCATATATAATTTATTTTGAGGATATATACGTGAAAAAATTTTCTGATATGATTTGATGGGTTCAAAAGATTATACCAGAAAATGAGGATTTAAGGAAGAACTTCGGTAAATTTATAATAATATTTATTCGCATACTCAATTTTCAGTCTTTATGCTTGTCAATGTGAAGCTGTATTAGAATATTTCTTTATCAAACGTTTTGAGCTGTTCGAGAACTCGAGAAATTCTTCATCCAGATCAAGACCAGTTGTCTTGACAACTTTCTTCATCAACTATCAGGAAAAAATTACTTTCTTCATCGTCTGTAGAATCAGCATCATCGATCTGCTTTTCTTCAACAGACTCGTTGACTTTCGAATCGAACTTCAAGACGTCAAGCGAGCAGGATTTTTTATTGCTCTTGATGTAGTTAACCATAGCTGCAACATATTTTTCAACGTCAGTCTTCATCACATATGCCATAGCCATATAATTCTTGAACTTATTTACGTCAAATGTGCGCAATAATATTTTTCTTTCCTTTTCTTCCATTCGTTCAAAGAATGGACATTTTGGTGTGTTTTCTGACAATTCTCTAAGCATTCGATTTCTTAGGTTATGCAATTTTTCAATTTCTCGCCAAACATCAGCGTCTCGTTTGAATTTATTGATGAACTTCAATTTAATATAAGACATAAGTTGTTGCATTTCAACTGCGAAGTTGTCGCTACTGATCTTGTCATAATCAAACTCCTTGGAAATATGAGTACGGTTACAAAGTTCGGTATTGTGATAAACGATGCAACGGCTCTTGAAGAAAGGTGCAGCTACTAAAAGGTCGATTTTTTCCGGGTCTTCATTGAATGCATGGAAAACAACCATTTCATAATCTATTTCTTTATTCAATTCCAAACATTCGTCTATACTTTCCCGGCTAATCTTGCCATTTGTGACGATGTACAGTAATTTGATTCGATCATTTTCACAAACAATATAGTTTTTTCGAAAGTACCGTATAAGGCATCTTGGATCTCTCCGTTCACAAGTATGGACGTTTGATAATCCAGTCACGTCGCCATTTGTATAATTATTCATTCCAACCTTATCTTCATTGACCTCCCAACAGACGTCGCTCCAGTTCAAATAAACAATTTTAAATTGTCTTGTAGGCTCTTGGGCAACTGATTGTTCTTTGATGCTTTCGACGTCACATTTGAATTGTTCAAGAGTCTTCAAGTTGTTGCTGTGGTAATACTCGGCTCTATTTATCGAATCCGAACAATCTTCTGCGTAAATAAAATAATCAACCATTTTTAATGAGGATGAGACTTTGGGGACTTCTTGATCGTATAACGCTCGATTCCAAACTGAATTGACAAAATGGCGGTTGCTTGCGGTATTTACTGTGCGGCATTCAAAGGGCATGACGTAGCAAGTGGGTGCGAATGAACTCGAATGACTCGACTCAACGAGAAAAGTGTTCAAACGTATAAAATATGTAGCTTCTCTAAGTCGTATTAGATATATAGTGTTTTTCAGTAAGACTTTCGATGTTTGACGCGTTATCATGACGTCACAGACATCACAATTATAACGAAGACAATCATTTAACTGAACGCCGAATGCATTTTTAAGATTGCTGTTCTAATCCGATCTTGTAGGCAACATTTGGTTAATAGGACATCATTCCAAACTCAATTCTTGAGCCACCTGTCAAGAGTCATTCGCCTTTATTCTAGATAAGACATATGATAGGGTGAATAGAAAGAAAACTGAATAATTATTAGGTAACAATCTATTTATTTCATCGAATCATAAATAAAAGTCTTTTAGAGTTGATGCTAGTAACATGATCAATGATTTGAATAATAAAGTCAAGAATAAACTCTATTCTTGATTTTAAGAGGTTGATATTCACGAAGTCGCTGTCTTTGAAATAGTTGTTGACGGTTTTTTCGGCGGTGACGTAATTTTACGCTGATCCCATAATAAAATTGAAATGAAATGTATGTGAAACCAATCTATTCGTGATGTGATTGGTCGAAAATAAATATTCTCATTCTGATTGGTTGAAAGTGAATATAATATACATAAACGACACATAAATATATCATGAATCATGACAATAAATATGACGCGCGCGCTTACGCGCGAAAATTCAATTCTAGTCGTATAAAAGTGGAAAAATTGCGGCAATGAGCACAGTTGAGTTTTAGCAGCTCTGACAAAATGTTCGACAAAGTAATCTTCATTGCACTCTTTGCGCTGATCGGAACCTCATGCGAGTAATAATTTTTTCTATGAAAAGTTTTTAATAATTCTCTCCTAGTGAATTTGTTTCGAAACTATATTGTTTTTGGTAAATTTTATAAGAACTATTGAAAAGCTGGAATCGACTCATTTCTTTAGATATGTATCTATATTTGAATTTTGTTCAACGTTGGTGTGCTCAAGGATGCTATAATTTACCTACAATATTATGTGTGGCTGAGTTGCACATTCCCACCCTAAAAGTAGTTGTAAAGCCGTTGAATAAAACCTTAAAAAAATCCATTCATCTTTTTGTATGGCATTAATACTAATGATATTAAAATTTTACTTTGCATCAGTAATTGAAAAAAATTTTCGGGTGACTTGTTATTTCCGGTAACTTTAACTTTAACTTTCTTTAATACCTCCTGATAGCGCTCATGCACGTTTTTAATTTGAAAGAAAACATTAAACGGAAAAACGGTAACCAAATCCCCGTGAAACTTTTTTCTTTTGGAAACATACCTAACGTACTCACGCAAAGTAGGATATTTCTTTGATTCTCTTACACATTCAATAAACAGTTTAGGTAAGGACAAAACTCGGCTACCAAGACATCTTTTTCGTAGGTTTTTACGGAAAACGATAAAACATCAAATAGCTCATCAAATATTACAAGAAGATGCCTTTTGGTAGCCGAGTTCCCAGCTCTTCTGACATCTTTTTTCCTTTACGCACACCAAAAACCCTAATTTTATAATTTATCAACTTCATAATTATATTTGTAATTAAATTTAAATCATTTATTCATTTTTAGAAATGTCCAATTTCACGAATGTCTATTTTTACTAATTTCCATTTTTATGAATGTCCATTTTTACTGATTTCCATTTAAGTAAGTATTTTTTTTATCGAAGTTTATTTGTTTAAATGTTCATTTTTATTGATGGGCATTTATACAAATGTCCATTTATTCACTTTTCCTAAAATTTAAATGTCCATTTTTTCAATTGTTCATAAAATCATATGTTCATTAAGTGACTATTCCTTTTATTCAATTGTACATTTGTATTTTTAACCATTTTTACTGATGTCTTTTTATATTATTATCCATTTTCATAAATGTTTATCTAAGAAAATGTCCATTAATCTATTTGTTCATTTGAACTCTTTACCAAATACTTTTATTTCCATTTGGAGATATTTTCAAAAATAGGGATTTCATTTTTTTAAGTTGGCCATAAGTGCAGTTGTACATTTATAATTATTTCCTTTTTTATTAATGTCCATTTATATTAATGTCTAATTTTACTTGAGTACTTTTATTATTATTTCCAAAAAATCAAATGTCCATTTTTAAAAATTTCCATATCCATTTATTCAAATGTCCAAAAATACACATTTGCAATAATACAAAAGCAACACGAACAGGGATAAATTAATGTCACGCATAGTAATTCACTATGGGGTCACTTGCTCGGTTACAGTAGTTAGTAACGCTACTGTAAAGATTGCTCAGCTTTGTTTACATCAATAAGTGGATACCATAGCTATTAAGTTATGTTAGGAACTTAAGATAACGGTGCCCATAACCTGATGGGAAAAATTCTTACGATAACGCCTTATGCAAATTCACCTCATGTGTTGTTAAAGAATGTTGGAACAAGTATTTGCTTCAGATTTTGCTAAACTTGACAGATTTATATCCTTCCGATTCTTTTTGCATGATTTTCATTTAAACTCTATGAGTCGTAATTTTTATTTAAACTTTGTAAGCCACTCTAAGTAGTATTAGATACACAATATCTTAAAAAATAAGGCATAAGCTATACTATCAGTTAGGTAAATCATTTTTATCTAGAAAAATAGTGTTAGTTTTCTTATCGCATGAATGAGTTTCTTTCATATACTTATTAATCCATTAGTTGATAATATCACGTATACAGCAAAGTAACTGCAACTACGGATTTTAAGAGACTAAATAATATAATATATATAATATTCCCCTATCGATAACTAATAAATAAAGATATTTTAAAAAAAAATGTTCATTAAGTAAAAGACATAATTTATGTTCTAAGGAAAAAGATATTATTTTGAAATTATATGTGTTCGTTTACTTTACGAAAGTGTATGATGATGCAGGGTTTTATGCCAATCACCCATAATGAATTTTGAGTATCTATGATCGATCAATAACTAATGATGGCTTGATAGAATCTTTTTGTTGGGTCCAGGAAATGAGGGATATAAATTATAAGTGACACTTACATAATGTTATCGTTTTTAATAAGATTAAAATTACATAATAATAATCTGCAAATATATAAAAACATTCTCCATTCTGAAATTTTAGGCAGAATTTTACAAAAATACATATTGATAAAATTTTGGTGTCATTTATCACGTTTAATACTTTTTGAAGCTCAAAATAATAACAGACAATACTTTGAAAAAAACATCGTTGATGAGATCAGTTTTATTCACAATCATACATCATAATATACGTCAATGTGAAGTAATTCATTATTATAGATTAATTGCACAGCAGTTACAATCATATTTCACAACCATTAGTCCGTCGAGTACACCGTGACCGAGTAATTAACTATGATCGCTTTTCTAACTTATCTTTCATCAGTAGAGATAAATTTACTAATTTTACTGTCACTACTGAACTTTACTTCAGCTTCTGCTTTAATACGTTCAATCTAATAGCATTTCAAAGTTACGGATCAAAATATTTATAACAATTCACAGTTCAAATTTCCTAGAACCACAAAGCTTGACAATTGGACTTACCAATGCAAATTCAAGAATTGTGGAGGTTAGCGTTTCTGATGAACTTATGTCACTCTTTATAATTAACTATCGGAAATTCACTAGAATTTGGTTACTTCTATCTTGTATGACGGTTGATCTCACACTAAATAAACGGAACAGCTTACATCAGAATTTATACGGCAGTCGGAACGTCTGACGCAACAGGCGTCAATTGGCTAATTATTGTATTTATCGTTCAAACACATAATATTGCCTGTAATCACATTATCAATACAAAACCCCGAAACATTAACTATCTTCCATGATTTAACAAACATGTTAATATGTAGATAGTAATGATTCATCTTTTAACTGAATGAAATTGATAATCGGAAACAAGTTACAGAACGTAAGAGATACTTATTGATGTAAATAAAAGAGCGCTATGTACAGATAAGCATTACTAACTAATAAATATAAATACATCAATTAGTAAAATGGTTACACCACTAATTTTCCAAAACTACAAATTGGATTTGAGAATAAAAGAATTGCGTCATACATTTCAAAGCAAAGGGCTTACTTACCCGGGTCAAAAAATTTAGTGAATACCGCTCATTAAATGATGCGTGAAAGTATAAAATTTAACATTAATCTTGTCAAACATTTTAATCTTGTCTCGATGTATTCACATTGTGTTTATTAACGATAATTAGAAAACTCTAGATTTAGATCCATAATCAAACGATGAGAACTATTTTATAAACGTATATTAATTCAAATTTATTAGTTATCACTGCAACTAATATTCGCAGTTACAAAACTTTTATAATCCATGAAATGTTGAGCTATGACAAATAAATATGACAGATGTAAGGTTATAATCGACGTTCAGTTCATAAAACAAGAGAGCGCATGAATATATTATAAATTTATTTATTTTTTCAAATAAATGCGACTTATAATTTTTAATGAGACTAGAATTTGAATTTACGCGCGCAAGCGCACGCTTTGACTATAGAGTTTGCATATATTTTCATGCTTATGATATATTCAACCAATCACGTTACGAATAGTAAGCACAACGCTACCAACTGCGTTATGGTACTGCGTGGAATTGTCCTCAGGAATTTTTAAAAATGATCCTCAACACTACAAGCAGGAACGGCTAAGAGGGTATTATAGCGTAGCGCGCTATATGATTGAAATTTTGACATGGTTCAATTATGATCTAGATTTGAAGCCTATCGAGAAACGAAAAGAACTACTAAGTTACGTAATGACTTTGAAAAAAATCCAAAAACGGAGAAAGAAAATTTATTATTTGTTGGAGAAAATCTTCAAGACTGTAGATGGTTTTCTAGTCAGTGAAATTGAAAAATCATCTAATCTATACAAGCTGAATTACCTAAAGTTAAATCACAAGGGAATTTTGCGTGACGATATTCTTGAGGAGAAAGTTCATTTGAATGACTTCGTCCACCTTATGCACTTTGAGGGTGACTTGGAGGCATCCGAAGCTGGGACAGGCACGTTTGATATCTGTGAAAAGACGTTCCGTCCCTATTTTGCTATCGACCAAGACAAATCTTTCTACACGGAATTGGTAAAGAATACCAAGAAAGTAGTCATTAGCAACGACGACGACAAAGATAAAATTAAAGTTACTTTTGAACCTATCAATTCGCTTGAGTTCGACAGAGTTTTGTCACTATACAAACTGTTCATTGATTGTGTAAAGGAATCAAAGAAATATCCGACCTTACCTAAGTACGTCGACAACATTTCTAAGAGAAAAAAGTTTCACATGGATTTGGTTACTCTTTTCCCGTCCAATGTCTACTTTGATATCAAAGACGTGTATGAGCGTTATCAAAAGGTAGTGAAGAAAGTCAGAGTCAATGAATTCCTTAAGGTATACGAGTCTCACGTTGGGCGAATGGAACGTATTAAAGCAGAAAAAAGAGTGAAGTTCAGTAGTGACTCCGAAATTAGCAAATTCATTACTAGTGAAGAGTTAAAAGTGAAGTTAAATAGTAACCATACACGGAAAAAAAAGTAGTTCTAAATTTGTATGTACACGTGGTTATAAATTTATATATTATGTATTATATTTATACTCTTATAACTTATAATTGTTAATAGAACTGAGAGATTGATCAATACATTGTCAAAAATGTTTTGTCGTTAGTGTAAGCCTGAAAAAATGTTGAATGAAATTACGCATACTACATTCTTCATAAGACCTATTTTTGTATAATTGTATTATAATCATCGTTTCAATAGATAACTTTATGATATATATATATATATATATATATATATATATATATATCATTCAAAATTTAACTGAGTCTTTCTATATCCCTTATTTTTGAGACCCAACAATATGATAGAATAAAATAACAGCTATCATAATCTTTATGAAAATTGTCGATGATAATTGGACTAAGCGTCGAATAAAATTCCAACATTGTCTTGCATTTGCTTTGATATTATATAATTATATAAGGTAGAGCCCCTGGCACGTAACCGAGAGATCTGGGTTCGATTCCCAGTCTGGGCTGTCCGATTATTTTTTCGATTACGTAAAAATTCCCACTGAGCAGGTCCTCCCATGCCCTTATCCTTTCTTTCCCGATTTCCTCAAATTTGCTTTGATATGGCCATATAGTATGGATATATAGCTATATCTCAGATGGATTGCAACCGTCAATAATTTACACGCAAGCTGAAAAATCATTTATAGCCGGACGTCGAGGAGTGCAATGCAATAAAACTTAGGATAGTGTAATTTCGGAATCTAAATGAGTGAGCCCTAGTTTAAATCGATATAGTTACTGAAGATATCCAAATAAATGTTAGCGTATTCCCTACTTAATAACATTTTTAAATAGTAGTTACTATACAACTATATTGTCAACTTCTAACTAATTGGTTAAATTATCATTTGAGTAAAACACAAGCTGCGGTAATCATTGCTGCATTCTCGTTTGAATGTGATCTAAGAAGCAATTTTTGAATGACATGGCATCATTTTGAAATAAATTTTCAAGCCATAAGTCAGAAGTAATTTGCTTTAATAATGATTGAAAAATTTGATGAGACAAGTGAAAAAAAGAAAGACATTGTTAAGTAAAAATAGATATATATGTATTTTATTAACGTACAGACTAAACTTATTGATACAACTACAGATAGTGATTAATTTATACAAAAACAATTTTAATAACTATAGCGAAAGTTATATTACAAAAGAACATGTCACCATCTTGATATTAACTATTGAAGAAGTAACTTTTTTACAAGATTTTAAATAATCTATGACATATAAATTTCTTCCATCTGCATAGAAACCTATTGCAGATAAAGTCTAGGATCATATATATTACCATAAAACCAAAGAATTCCAGCGATTCTCACCAACCAGATAAGAGTAAGTTGTTAATATTTTCGAAAGAAAATTCTTTTCATCTCTGTTAATGTGTATACGTTAAGATTAAAACAACTAATAAAATTAAACTATTTAATTTTGAATTATTCAGTTAGTGAAGAAGATTTACTATTTTTCAATAAAATTGTAGAAGTTGTTGAGGAATCTTATGAGATTCAGAAGCGAGAATTATTGCCTCAAAGGCAAACGCATGAGGTATTATTTATTAATTTTTATTTGTCCATTATTATTAATTTTTGCTGATTTTCAAAAAAAAAAAAAAATTAATAATTATCTATAACTGGAACGATAAAGCAAAAAGATATAATTCCAACATTAATTTTCATCAAGTTAATAATAAGAATAGACTGATGAGCGCAACGAACGCAATGATGACTACTTTGCTGAACATCTTTTATCAGAGCTGCTAAAACTCAACTATGCTCGTCGTCGCAGTTTTTCCACTTTTATACGATCAGCGTACAACTACGTCACCGCCGGAAAAACAGTCAACAACTATAATGTTTTTTATTAGTTTGTTTTTTTAATGGCTTCTCGGAATTGAACAAATGAGAGCTTTCAGTAGGTATTGAGAGAAGTACTGTAAACGTGATTATTATGGGGTTATCAGAGATCATGTCCGATGTTATCAGTATGGAGTTCAAAGTCATTTGGCTGACGCGTGAGTATGAGTATAGTTGAACTATCTGGGTCCCTTAAATTGACCTATTTGGCATCCATGTACTGAATAACCATTCAAGCACGAGTGGAGTGCGTGATTTTCATCTTGATACTGGTAACATCCGGTATGATCTCTTATGACGTCATAACGACAATATTTACAGTACTTTTATCAATACCTACTGAAAGCTCTCATTTGAGAATACCAGACGGAATTAACTCACATGACCAGGTCAGCTGACATAACCTATTTTAAATTCCAAGTGACGTAGTTGTAGGCTGATCGTATAAAAGCGGAAAATCTGCGGTGATGAGCACAGTTGAGTTTTAGCAGCTCTGACAAGATGTTCGACAAAGTAGTCTTCATTGCGCTGTTTGCGCTTACCAGAACCTCATGTAAGTAACAATTCTGTGTATAAAAAATTTTAGAATATCTGAAAATACACCAAAAGTTTTTTTACAATGGAATCAATTCTCCTCTTAATCACTCTATTCTTCTTATTAACTTGATAAAAACTATTTTTTTTATCTTTAAACATAACTTTAGATTCTTGAACTGTTATTGATTCAAACTTATTTTGCTCTTAGCTTACTAATATGATGATTTAAATCACCTGCTTCATTTTAGTGCGACTCCGTCATAGTTATTTAGCCAAAAATTAGTAGCTGTGAAAAGCTTGAATATAAACATCAAGCAGAATTTGTTGATATCTATTCATCTTATACTAAGTTTCATTCTTCTTAGAACATGGATTCATTCTGTTCTTTTATTTATAAAATTTGTTATTTTTTTCAATGGTCCGAGCGAATCCACAAGAACTTATGCGGCCTGAACAACGTACAATTATTGAACATCTATCCTGCTCCGCCTTACAAGGACTAGAATCAATTAAATTGAGCAACCTTCACTTTATGTCGATAGAGAACCCTTGCAAATTAATCGCTCTAAAAGTCTCTTTGAACAACAACAAATTTCCGAGTTCCCAACAAGCTTTCTATATAACTGCAACGGATATTGATCTAACTAACAACGAGTTTGTCGGAACGGAACAAGAATATTATATAGTGGGCCGTAAAGTACATCTAGAAAACAATACATACGCAGGCCAACTCCAATTTCATCATACAATAGGATATGAGATTGACATGTTAAGTAATTTATATGATGGTCAAGGCCAAATCCATCAGGTAGTCGGAAGTCATGTAAAACGGGTTTCCAATCATTATAATGAAGTTCAAAATAACTTACCCGCTGGAAACTGTGAAAGATTTATTCAAAGCGTGTATTTTAAATCGATGGCTGGTAGTGACGTAACTTCGGAGGTCACTAATGAAATTACCCGTCAGTGCAGTTCTCTCAAAAAGTAAATTATAACACTTTGTCGTCATTTTTTTTTTTTTGAATAACTTCTGCTGTGTTTATCAAGATTTTGTATGTTAAAATTCACCTCTTTTAATCTAATTTATCGAAGACTTCTATCTATAAGTCCATAAAATAAAGAAACTGTAACCTAATAATTATTTAGTTTTCCTTGTATTTACCCTATCATATCTCAATGAGCATCAAGGCAATGACTCTTAAAAGGTGGCTCAAAGGTTGAGTTAAAAATTGCCTTTTAGATCGCATTTAAACGACAAGCTTAAAAATACTATTGATGTTTAGTCAAATGATTGTCATCGTAATAACTGTGATGTCTGTGACGTCACAAGAATGCGTTATGAATCCGAAGGTCTTACTCATTTGAGGAATTCGATTGACAACTCTACTGAAGCATATTAGAAGTACTCGCCTGCGGGTTCCCCAAAATTATATATTAAAATATATATTTATATATATTCTCCCCATATTTATAACTAATAAAAAATGAATAATAAAAAAATATTTCATGATTCTAGAAGTTATGATGTTGATATATCTGTGAATTCAAAAACTTGCCAGTATTTTGCCCCAAGTATTTCCTCAACTAGTTATCATTTGAATGAAACAATGACTCTGGTATAATTTAAAGGTTTATTTGTGACATAATTTAAATGATAAGTTATTACATAATAATTCATAAAGTAAAGAGACCATTTCACAGCCACAACATAATCAACGTAACTCCTATCTCATTTTGACACTAATTCACCTAACTAAATTCCTTAAAAACGAGACAGCTTGTTGGATCGGAGTCGCTCTTGTAGCAACTTTCACGGGAGTCGACTCTATGTACATTTTCACAGCTTTGTAACAAAATAAATATTGAAAAGGGTCGAACAAACTCTGGAACCTTGCTTGACGAATACTAGACACTATTGATCCTATCGAAACTGTTTTTGTTTCGTCGAACCTAGAAATACTGATGTCCACAACACAAAAGCACGGAGTTCTTCCTAGTCCAGCGTTGCAATGGACAACGATTGGCGGCGGCTGGGAACGTTGGTGGCCAATCTGGAGCGACTCTGCATGCAACTCTTTCTGACATTGCCTTACCTCTAGAACAAAATTCAAAAATTCCGAGGTATTCTTCGGCACATCATGGTCTGGCCAAGCAATGAAGTTGTAATGTGTCACTGTCTGGGTGGCTTCGGTTCCATCTGTCAAAACAATTGTTGACTTAACGTAATGAGGCAACCGCGTTACACTAGTAGTAGTGACCCGGAACTTCCCGAACCTCATCGACGATTGCTCCACGTCGCTCCAGTAGGGGTGACACTTTTCCCTGCCATTTTCTTTCTTCTTGCAGAGCATGACAACGATTTGCACATGCTCCATCCACAACATACGATAGAAATCGTAACACGTACGTCGGGTTGGAGCTTGTCCGCAGATGAACTTCTTGCTACGTTCGAAGCCATCTACATAATTGGCGTTAATGTAGTTCCCCCGATTTCGCTCTGTCGGTAAAATTACTCTGGAGTGATCGAAGCAAACCGCATTTGCATAGCGGTTTAGATTTCTGTTAGCTTTTTCGGCTTCATACGTCCCTTGTATCTTCTCACTGATAACCTTCTGATGCTCCTCACCAATTAGTACTTCGCAGTCACTGCACTCCATCAGCGCCATGAAGTCTGCGTATTTGAGCTCATCAATAGTCCGATCCATTGTTACGGCTAAATAATAGTTTAGTATATAGAAACAATATCTCTAGGTGTCACGTCCTTCACTTACAAAATTTAGAGCAATAACTAATGGTTCAATTCCGCCGATGGCATTTAAATAGGGATATTTGAAAGTAGGTATGGATTGGTTTATCCTAATGTAATGCTAGCGTTTTTAGAGGCGGTAAACCGCAATATCTGAATAACGCGTCACCATTGTTGCTAAGGAATTAATAATATTAAATTCATTTGTGGTGATGATTTAATGTACAAACAATGACCCTATACGTAATGGACAAAACCCATGATATATGTATGTGACTTGATACATGAACATTAAATCTCACAGCAACTATAACAGTATATAATTAGATTTTTATGAAATCTACCTACTGTGTTATCCTTACAGTGAAAAAGAAAGAATAATATATTTTTCGATAATTTTTACGTTTAAAACGGAACTACCCAGGTCTGAACAAAGGGTGATGACGATTTTTATTGCTCTTCAAAGCAGCTCTATGACGATACTCTAAGATGATTAGATTTTTCATAGAGCAAACATCAAGTCCTTTTAATGCGCACATTGTTGTAGAAAAATAAAAAATATCTCGTTTGGATGCTATCTAATAGGCAATATTCGATTAATAAAATATCATTTTGAATTCAATTCTTGATCCACGTGTCAAAATTTGGCTTTAAGTTGATTGATATATGGTAAGGTAAATAAAAAAAAGTACTTCTCTCAATACCTACTGAAAGCTCTCATTTGTTCAATTCCGAGAAGCCATTAAAAAAACACACTAATAATAAACATTATAGTTGTTGACTGATTCTCCGGCGATGACGTAGTTGTACGCTGATCGTATTAACGCGAAAAAACTGTGGCAACGAGCACAGTTGAGTTTTAGCAGCTCAACACATATGCCCGAAATCAGTTTACAGCCGAGGAAATTTAATCTGATTCTAGAGTAAATGAAGAGATAAAGAAAGAAGTTGCATCTGGAAAATTTATAGGTAACATAGAAGTATCACTATTCAACAAAGTGGGGATTTGATCATACAAATAACCTCCTAAATGGAAACTATGAGAGATTTTTACAAAACGTTATGCCTAGAATATCATATGATCCTAGAGTTTATATAGAATAGATTTTTATGCAGATGGGATAACTTGTTATAAGTCATAGATTGATTATTTAAAATCTTGTATAAAAGTTACTTTTTCAATAGTTAATATGAAGATGGTGACATGTTCTTTTGTGATATAACTTTCGCTATAGTTATCAAAACTATTTTTGTTAAAATTAATTACTCTCTATACGATTAATCAATAAGTTTATTCTGTACATTAATGAAATATATATATTTATTTTTACTTAACAATGTTTTTTTTTTTTTTCATTTGTCTCACCAAATCTTTCAATCATTATTAAAGCAAATTCTTCTGACTCTTGACTCAAGGATTGATTTCAAAATAATGCTATGTCATTCAAAAATTGCTTCTTAGATCATATTCAAACGAGAATGACAGCAATTTTTAAGTAATATTGGATGCAGCGATGATTTTCTGAGCTTGTGTTTCACTCAAATGATAATCTACCCAATTAGTTAATAGAAATTGACAATATAACTGTATAGTATGTATACATGTTATAACAGTAACTACTATTTAAAAATGTTCCTATGTAGCGAATGCGCTACCATTTAGTTGGGTATCTTCAATAGCTTAATTGATTTAAACTACGGCTCACTCATTCAGATTCAGAAATCAAATTGTCCTAAATTTTGTTGCGTTACACTTCTCGATGTCCGGCTATAAATGACTCTTCAGCTTGCGTGTAAATTATTGATGGTTATAATTCATTCCAACTACAGCTATATATCCATACTCAATTACAGGACAATGTTGAAATTGAATCCGACGCTTAGTCCAATTATCATCGACAATTTTGATAAAGATTGTGATAGCTGTTATTGAGTATGGTTCTTCTAACGAGGATCATTTTATTCTATTATATTATTGGGTCTCAAAAATAAAGGACACTACATAGTGAGCCGTAAAGTTGAAATTAACCTTTTTTAATCTAATTTGTCGAAGACTGTTATCTATTAGTCGATGAAATAAAGAGACCGAAAGTCTCACTGGTTTGAAGAATTCGTTTGACAATTACACCAAAGCATATTAAAAGATATCTCATAACTATTTATAAAAATATATTTATATAATCTTCTCCTGTTGATAACTAATGAATAAAGATATTTTGAAAAAACTTTTCATAAAGATAGAGACATTGACTTACACAAATCGTGATATATAAGTTTCTTCTTGCTTGATCTTACGAAAGACACCAGCAGCTCAAACAAGAGTCTTATTGGGTTTAAAGAATGAAGAACAAAACCAATTATCATTATAATCTTAAATAATATTTATTAAGTAACTTAGCATAATCTAATTGTTTTACCTCAGATTGGAATGACTTGATAACAATTATAACTATCTTATAATATAATTATACAAAATATAAGTCTTGTTAAAATTTTTGTTCCAATTATTATTATTATTATCACATTAAGTAAATTTTCAACCCTACACTATAATAATACAACAACTTAAAACAATTATCTGATGCCAGTCTTTCGTCCATTTTGACAAACTAATCTCACTTGTTCTTTGAATTTACATTCAGTTGAAATGTCTTGAATTTTTGCACACCTCAAGCATGTCTGTAACGTTAATTCTTCCATTCGAAGTTTGATTAGAAGATTAACTTCCAAAACCATAAATCTTACGGCCTTGACGTTTCAATGCATAGACGATATCCATGGAGGTGACAGTCTTACGTTTAGCGTGCTCGGTATAGTGGAAAGCATCATGGATAACGGTCTTGAGGAAGATCTTCAAAACATCACGAATCTCTTCATAGACCAATCCAGAGACACGCTTGACTCCACCACGACGAGCCAGACGACGGATAGCTGGCTTGGTGATTCCTTGGATGTTATCTCGAAGAGATCTGCGATGACGCTTAGCGCCCCCTTTTCCCAATCCTTTCCCTCCTTTTACCGATCCTTTCTCTCCTTTTTCCAATCCTTTCCCTCCTTTTTCCGATACTTTCCCTCCTTTTTCCAATTCTTTCCCTCCTTTTTCCAATCCTTTCTTTTCTTTGCCTTGTCCTTTTCCTACTTTGCTCGATCCTTTTCCTTCTTTAGCACCTTCAGGACGATCAATCATGATGATTGTGTTGTAGATGGCAGTGAACGTTACTCCAAGATTTGTTCGTCGATGACGTACTGGTATATCTTTGTCAAGAACTAACTGTTGAAGACTCACGAGGAGCAAGAACCTTCTGTACTATATGACAGTTGGTGCCGTACTGAATGAACCCGAGGGTTGCTTTCGGAATTTATACGGATCCAGAGCCTATGACGTAGGGAGTGAGTTTACGTAACCTCTTAATATATAGATTTGAAACAAACAAATATTATCGAAAAGGTCTTATCACGAATAGAATTTTCCAGGGTTACTTGTTGCGACCCATAACCTTATAAGGACATGTTGGGAACGATGACTTGTATGTTTATTCAATGAAATTGATAATGGGTTAACAGTCATAAGGCGTTCTATTTTTTGCTGTTGTCAAGAGAGAAGCGCCATCTACACAGTAGCGTCACTAACTGCTTATGGCTGCATAATGCATACGGTTTATACCTGCTGATGCATGGTTACCTGCTGAAAAACTGCAACTTTAAGTTTTTGTACCAGATGCTAAAGTCGGTGTATTGAGTGCTCTTTAAGATTTTGTTCACCATTTTTGTTCAGATCTAGAAAAGCTTTAGGCTTTTTTTTGGATAATGTCAATAATTTAAGGAATTATTTTAATATAGTATAGTACCTATAATTTTGTAGGATTAAAAAATAAGTCATGATAGACATTATTAATCAGATTACTTTTTTATGTTTTACAGAACAGTTAACTTCTGTTATCACATAATTAGCGACATTTTTATATACAATATATGAATAAATTATATCACGTTTACAGTAAGTAATCGCTAAAACGGATTCTAAAGAACAAACGATATTAATCTCTGATTAGTTGATAGACAATGATTTATCAAATCTTCATGACAATTAGTCAATAAATTATGAATGACTACAAGACATCGGATAATTGAGGTTCTTATATAACATAAGTCGACAAAATAATATTTTTTTTTGTTCCTGTTTCAATGTATAAAAATACCTGATTTAAACTGTTAAAGGTTGTTATTATCTTTCTTAGAACGATAAATTTGAAGTATTATTATTGATTAGATAAGCAAGAGGTAATAACGCTTTGAAATCAAATAGATGCAAGTGGCATAACATTTGTGTAGTAGACACCGGTTAATGTTTACGTCTTTGACACAGAAATAGAAACTGTTATTGGGTGTCATACAATCAAAAAATTTCATGAAAGCAATTAATAATTATATTAATTTATATAAATTTACTTGGGATGAATTAACGGGGATAGCTACTGGTAACAGAAGTAACAGCCGAAAGAATAGGTCATTTTTGGAAATTTTTTTAACTGAGAAAATACAAAAATTTGGCGATCAGATTTTTTTGTTTTATTAAATGTACATTAAAGATAAATATCCTAAATTTTCATTAAAAAATATTAAATTATTTTTTTTTTTTTTTTTTTTTTTGGATATTCAGACTTGAGTCAATTATAAATATTTTTATTGAACTTTTTTAATTTAGCTATAAAGTACTATCGGTTATGCAGCTACAATTCGATTTTCATTAAAAAATCTTTATAATTCTCGAAGTCATTAATATAAAAAGTTCATAAAACTGCTCTTTTAAAATATGAAAAGATACCCTTTTGACAATCAGTTCTTCACTTATATAAAACTTTGTGAAGCTCATGAAGCTTATTTCAGTCTGCAAGTTCGGAAGATGAAATGACTTTAGAAGGTAAAAAATAAAATTTAAACTCTAAATTTGAGTACAAAATTTTAACAATTCAAAAACAATATATAGGTGCCTATTCAGAAGAGCAAAAGAGATATATACTTTTATTGAGATGTAAAGAATTTTTAACGACATTTTCTTAAGCAATGCAACTATAGTATACTGACTACTTTTATAAGAATTTTTACGATGTAACATCGTAAACTTTTAATTATAAAATTATGAAAATAAAGATATTGAAAATTTGGTCCTGGGTTACAATGTGATGATTGTAATTTTTCCTACAATTGTTTTTCAGTGTAGTATATAATAAATCACGTTTAGAGTTGGGTCCTAAAAATTATAAATTTCAAATATGAGTATGATTAAAGTGTCCATTTTTGAATTTTTTTTTTTTTCAATTTGCTGGTATGTGTAAGCTGCTATTAATTATTTTTTTTTATAAAATTTACACAGGTTTATAAAATTAATTTATTTAATAGTAGTTTTTGATAAAGTTCTACAAAAAAAAAAGTGATTTTTTTTTTAATTTAAAATTTTGCTGTCGTTCCCACTGGAGCAAGCTTCAGCCAAAAAATCTATTTCTCTTTTCATTAGTTACATAAAAAAAAAAAAAAAAAAAAAAAAAATTGATATTTAATATTAAAACCCAAAAATCGTTTCAACCGGTGTAATGTATGATTAGATAAACTTTATTTACAAACATTCATTAGACCGCAAAGATTTTTCTCGGATCTAATAAAATTTGAATATGAATTGAACTCTAAAAATTTTCTTATAAAAAAATCTACCTGCAAAGCATCGGGTCCTTATAGAGGCATCAGAATTTCCCATGACGTCAACCCTAGGACAGAGGAGGAAGGGGGCCCTATTATTCTCAGGTCAGCCGAGGGCTGAGGATTTTTGTCGTGTTGGTTAGCAAAGGACCAAACGGTCAAATTCTTAGTTCTCGTTTTTCCGAGTTAAGTTTCGATCTTTTAGTATATGTCAGTGTTATAAGTAGCATAGTGACGGCGTTTTCCGCCATGCCTAAGTTATTAAAACGTAAATAAATAAAAATAGTGATTATCTATTTTGGTGATAATAATTTTGAAAAAAATATAGGCAAGTTTTTTTAAAATAATTTATTTCTTTTTTAATAATAATTTTTTTCTATTTTGATGTAATTTTTTAGCAATAATGGAAATAAAAATCAACATTTTAGATTATTGTACTAAGTAAAGTGTATTTATGAAGTAATTTTTGGTTATACAATAATTTATCGAACAGTTAATTGATTGATATTTAAAAATTAACATTTTCTGTGGATTTAAACGGATTGTTTTTCGAATAATTAGTCTGTAATAACAATTACATGATGCGAGTAAACCGCATAGTCGAGAAGTCTGTAGCGCGCTTGCGCAGACTCATATTCTCCGTAATAGAAAATATCTGACTATTTATCTACAGCGTGTATGTAGTAATGAAGAGGGATGACGAGAATAAGGCAAAAAGAAAGTAAAAAAAAATATTTAGACGCAGAGTTTTTTTATTATTAACAATTGAGAAATAAACGGAATTAAAAATTTTTTTCTGCTCCGTCGCTGCAAATATACTTAATATTCAAAAAATTATAAAAAAAAAATTTTTTAATTCAAAAGTAAAAAAAATGCATATACTTTTCATCTTTTTTTTTATTTCCTTGGAAATTTCGTTTGATCTACGATTCAGTGGTGATGAGATATATTCTACGTATTGAAAAAGAAATTATATTGAAATTCTGCATCACAAATGAAATAATTAAATTTTAAAAAAATTGTAGATGTCTAATTTTTTTAATTTTACAAAAATTTTTGTAAAATTTTGAAATTTGAAATAATTGAATAAATATTATTGCAAATTTAAAAAATTTTGAAAATCGAAAAATTTTTTTAATTATCTCTAAATTGACGACTGTACAAAATTTCCAAAATTTTTTAAAAATATCAACAAAAATCAAACAAGCATGGATTTTTAGATTTTCAAACAACAAAAAAAAGTTTATAAATTTTTTATTAAAAATCCATAAATCAATTCTAATAAATTAATAAATATATTTTTTTAATAATAAATTTTAAGAAAATTTGTTTTTTGAGAACATTAAATTTTTTTAATTAGAATAAAATTGTGTCAAACAACTAGGCCAGTGTCAATAACTGGGTCTTTTACCTTACTATGATCTATTGTAAAGATGATAAATTTTGTTTTGATATTTTATCCTGATTATTTTTATTGTTATCAATCCAGAGGTGACTCGTTAAAAATTAGTATAAAAAAAATGTTAAAAATTCATAAAATTACTAATAGTTTATTATTACAGATCAAAAATGCCTGATCATCATCAACCAGATGATGAAACGTTGTCCGACTACAAAACCGAAGACAATTTTTCGGACAACGATGAGCTTCCTCTCACAAATGAACCACTTAGGTAATGACCATAGTCAAACCATCTTGAGATTACAATCTTCAATAATCACAACAAACTAATACTGTCAAAATTTTTCAGCATCAGCATAGTTGACAGAATAAACAAGTCACTAAAAACCTTCCCGATGCCTTCGTCGTTCAAAAAGTTCACCTCAAAGCTTTGGAAGTTGGTATCGTTTCTGCTGTTCATTATGTACGTGATGCTTTTCATGATAAGCTGCATTGTTTCAAAGTCAACATTGCTGTCAATGACGTCGCAACTGGAGCCAAACCACACCGCGTACTGTCGAAAAAGACAAGGCAGCTTCGAGATGATGAGGCTAGAACTGGTCCAGTCGGAGGAGGAGCGAATAATGTGGATCTGGTGCCTATTACTAGCATTTGCAGTTCCTGAATTGGTAAATTCAGTAGTCTGCTTCCGAAAGTCCAAATCTAGGCCTTCGATTTGCCAGTTCCTGCAGGTTATGGGCCCAGAAACGCTCCACGTGGTTGGCATAGCGGTAATGATCTTCGTGATTCTACCAGAGATCGATATGATGCGGTTTTGGTTGCTCTGCATCTGGTTCATTTTTGACATGGGTCTGCTCAACTTGCTGACAAGAGTCTACAACAATGCCAAGTCCAAGAGAAACACGGCGTTAATTGTCCTGGACTGTATTATCTTGGCAAATTTGGCTATTATTAACATTGTGTTTTCGTTGCATGAAAGCACCTTTTATGATCACAGTTTTTGGGCGATTATGTTGGCGTCTATTTGTATATTTTTTGGATTTTGGCAGGATACTTCTTATTCTATACTGAGTCCAACTGGTAAGTACTATAAAATGTCGTAAATAATAAATAAATAGATCACAGGTTGTCAGGACAAGGTCCTGAATCATAAAATCATTATATCGATTACCAAATTCAGAATTATGCGTTGAATTAACTTTTTGAAAGATTCCTAATCCAAAAATCACCGTCTTGATGATTAACAAAAAAATTAAATTGTTAATTTTAAAAATTCACATGTACTGCGACCTAGATTGTAAAATTCCGAGTAAAATAAACCCCTACAAGCCCTATTAATCTCAAGTCTTTCATAGAATTAACAGCGTTAATATTTTATTAATCAATTAATCAAAAATCGACCTACAGCCAATCGAATCGAGCGACGGCTTATTTTACTCGGAATTTCAAGAGCTTTTCAACTATGCACATAATCTTATCCTAAATAATTTATAAAAGATACTTTTTCCACATTAATCATAAGCAATTATGTATTCTACAGGCTACATCCAAATTTTCAACAGTGCTCGAGAAAAACTCTTTCCTGCTAGACACTTCACCTTCGCACTGATATCAATCTGGAAGATCGTTGTGTTCTTCGCATCAGCGCTGACTATTCTGTACCTAAACGGTGATAATATCGTTCACATTTTTACCAAGCTTGGACAAACCTTCGGAGAACACAACCTGACTCTCATCGAAGACTTCAATAAGCGCGAAGTTTACTACAATGGGACTATCGTTAGCTTGGAAACGATAATCTCTATCAAAAATGGAAAATTCATTTTCACTATTTCGATCCTGTTGACCCAAATTTTGTTGTCTATCCTCAGCAACGTCGAAGGTAAGTCACATTAGAGTTAATTAAGTAAACCTTAAAAAATATTCTTGATGCTAATGATTGTGTTATAACCTTGAAGATGACAAAGGAGGGCTTCGGATGCTTCACGGCTTCGATTTTCGATCGCGACTCGGCTGGAATATCCCTCTGTCTTTCAGTTTCGGATTAGTGATCTGGACTTTCTACGTGCTAGAGCCATTTTGCAAGCTTAACCATGACATGATTATTCCTAGGTACTTATCCTTTGACTCCCGGGAACGAGGGTTGAAAAAGGAACTCGATTTCCACAACAATACGCTCTCTGAAACCTGGAAAGTGATCGGCTCGATTGTCTCCGTCCTTTGGATAGGAATCCACACGATCATTCGCTACTACAAAATAATGGTAGAGAACAAAAAGCCCCAGAACTTCGAATACGATCGGCCATTGTTTAACAGATGGCTAAGTTCTCTTCGCGCTCATAAGGACGAGTCTATAGACGTCGAGAAAGAACTTATGACCTTCCAAAGGCACCAAGAAATTCACTTGGACACCTTGTTCCAATAAATTTATCGTTTTTGTACAGATGACTACTATTGATGATGTTTGTTAATGATATTTTGTAATTTTGTAATTAAATTAGCTTTAAGATTTAAAAATTAATGGATTTTTACGAATAATACTTATTGAAAAATGAATAATTTGTTGCGATTCTTTGAAGATTCCTTAACTATGGAAATTCTTTTATAAATTTGACCGCGAATAAGAAATATGATTGACGGCTTTTAAATTTGTCATAAGAAGTCGCTAAAGATGACGAGAACAAGCCATCAATTAAATCGAAATAAAGAATAACAATCCGTATTCGATCTGTTACATGTTTCTGGATCCAATTATTGTAATTGTATCAGGAAAACATCGACGTTGTTATTTAAGAACATTAATTGGCTTTAAAAACTATAGATCTTGTTATTTTTACTTTTAGATCAGAATTCGTTAATTTTCAATCCAAAATTTTTACGACTTTGATTTTAGCCAAATACGTAAAAAAATGAATAAGTTAACATATCTCTGAATTTTTCGTTAAATTTTAACTAAAAATTTCTAATTTTGCTACTAGCGAATCTAGTTGGAAGGGATAGATTAAGTAAGAAAGGGAACAAAAACTAGGTAGTAGGGGAAGCGACTCCGTCATTCCAATTCTAGCTGTCAGCCAGAGCGCATCGTGGTTTTCTTACATCTGAGCGCACATATAGAAATTATTAAATAAATAATACAATAATTCATATTAAATCAATGTATTTATCAATAAAACTTTAAAAATATCGTTAATAATAAAAAAAACTATGTACAAAATCCTCATAAAAAAATAATCGGTTATCAGGCACTAAATAACATTATTAATGTACACTTCAACACTTATCCTAATTTTAATTATAAAATTAAAATTTAAATTATTTACAAACAAAATCTATCATTCAGACTTTAGTGGTAGCGAGTAACTTAATATAATGCGCTTTGTGAGTGATCTCAAGCTCCTGCGCAGGCATAAAACATTGAGTTTGAATCTGCGGAGCTTTAACTTTCTTGATCAAGCTGCGAACGAAGACAACCACCGTGATGAACAGCAAGCAAGACACCACGACAATCACCAGAATTATCATTTCGAAGCTCTGCTTGACAGCCTGGACTTCAACGCACCTGGACCTGCCGTTGGACTCATCCAAGCTTTCATCATTGAAGCTGGCGCAGACTTTGTACCTCCCGGGAATGAGTCCAGTCATTTCAGCGTAGGCTAGCGAGCAGTTGAGCTTCTTCCTGTGCAGCGGAACTTCTCCAGCGAAGACAATAACAAAAAGTTCACAAGAGTTGGCTTCATATGAAGACAAGCTGATGTCAACATGGAGGAAGCCTTGCTCGGACACGTTGACATGGACTCCAGTAATTCTGTGTCCATCCTGACGAACTGCAGGGAGAACCGTTGAAGAAACGCTGGAGATGTTGGTGGTCATCTGGGACTCTTCCAGGGTGATGATGTCGCTGCATCCCAGACCCAGGGACAGGTCTTCGTGGTCAGAAGGGACCAGGAGGACTACGCAGTACCTATACTTGTGACCGACCTGGAGATTCAACGCTGGAATGGTCACTGACAGCGAACAAGGATTCGCCATGAATCTTGAATCACAGTGCAGAGTTTTCGACTCAATCTCGACTTCGGAGCTCCCAGTAGCTTCGTAGACAATCAGGCTGTCGCAGGTGTAACTTTCGCTGCAAGGCTCGACGTTCCACAGAATGTTAACTCCCGATTTGTCGTAGCGGAACTCCTTGAGCGTCAATTGGGCGCCAGCTAGCGGGGTTTTGGTCATCAGAGGAGGTGTAGGATCACCACAGAGCAAGCTTCCCGGTGACACCTGGACCAGGATTCCGTTCTCCAGAGCAGGGGGCGTTGCGCAGACTGCGGAGTTCTTCTCTTCTTCGTCAAGCGGTGAGTTGCTGAGCCAGTTAGCAAAGTCTAGAAGAGTGCAATCGCAGTTCAAGGGGTTGTCTGCCAGGGACAGCCGCTTGAGCTTCAGTTTCGAGGTTGGCACGTCGCTGGACACCATGGTGATATCGTTATCATCGAGTTTCAGATCCTGGAGGCTTGTCAGGGGAATCACCAGGTCTGCTGTCAAGGAACGTAAGAAGTTGTGGGTCAGGTCCAAGGTCACCAAGTTCTCTAAGTGCGCCAACGAAGCGCTAGAGACTGCGACGATCCGATTGCTGGCCAGGTCCAGGTTGGTTAGTGTTGACAAGTACTTGAAGGAATGATCCTCCAGGACGTCAATCTGCAAAAGTTTTTTTTTAAGTGAATGACTTGGTCAGAAAATTTTTTGCAGGAATCGAAATTCCGTATTGAGTTATTACAAATTTGGTTACCTGATTGTGGCTCAAGCTAAGGTAGCTGAGGTTTTTTAGCCCAACAAGCGCTCCCTGCTGGACGTTAATAAGTTCATTCTCCGAGAGAGTTAGGAATCTCAATTTGGGCATTGATGGGAGTAAATTGGGTCCCAGGGGCCCAATAAGTAAGTTACTAGATAGATCCAGTTCTTCGAGATTTTTCAATCCACGGAGCGCAGATAATGCTGAAACGCTTAATCGGTTTCCGCGCATCTTTAACGACCTCAGCTGCTTCAACGGGCCAAACGCTTGTGGAGACAATTGGGACAATAAATTTTCGCTAAGATCCAGGTATGTCAGACTAGCGAGACTCTGGAACAAAAAGTAATATATGCTACATATATATCTATATACACATGGATGGATGGGTGGATTATAAGTCGGTAGAGAAAAAACCAGAGTATATTCTTAATCAAATGATTTAATTGTGGGAATCAATGCTAATAAGCTTAAAAGCTATATCACGAAGTCCGTTTAACTGAATTAATATCTTCTGGGAGTTGGTTGATTGACAGACGGACTTTTATTATGTTATGCCCGTAAAAAAAGGGACACTGGACTTAAATTGATCGTATAACTCAAAAACAACTTGTATTGTTTTGTATTCTATTGAATCTGATTGATTAGACTGACGGAAAAAAAGAAAAAAAATTTTTTTTTAAATTATGTTATAAATCCGGCATTAGTTTTTGCAATTGTAAGAATTGTTATTATGACCATGACCACTAATCAGATCATATAATGCTACTTATATGTTGTTATATAAATTTTGTTAAAAGTCCTTTGTGTTGATTGGTACAGAAATATAATTGGCGTGGTCAAATATTTACTCACTTTGAAAGAGTTTGCTTCGAGTGTGTGTAATTTGTTAAGAGACAAATCGAGCCTGTCTAGTCCATTGAGCTGGGCTAAGGCCAAAGTAGGAACAGACTCCAAAAGATTATTGGGCAACCCGAGTGCCTGGAGTGGCCGGACCAAGCCGGTAAAGGCATTGTCATTCACGCGCCTCAGTTCTCCAGTTGAGACCACCAGCCCGTGAAGAGCCACGTCTTGTAGAAATTCCGCCGGGAGCGTTGAGATTCCCGTAACGGTTACGTCCAGAAGGGAGATCGCTCCTTGGCTGCTTTTTAGGTGGGAGTTTATTGTCTGGAATAATAATTAATTACTTGTCATGAGTGGTGATGAATGGTCAACAAACAACTTAAACGAATGACTTGAATTGCACGCCTCATAACGCAAAGCGCTCTACTTTTGATTTACTAAAATCAAGCAATTTTCCAAAGTGAAAATGTCTCTATTTTATTCATATTGCTTTTATATAATAATATAAATACCCATATGTCAAGAAAAAACACTCGTTTTAACGCATTTGATATTTTTCAAAGACATTTATTTTATTTAAATGTTGTGATAATAAAATTATATGAAGTAAGGCCCGATCGTCATAAACTAATTATTAGCTGTAAATAATTTTAAAGTGCAAATATAAATTTAGTAATAGAAATTATAAAGCCAGCTCTGTAATTTATACAGAATACTCATGGTTTGATTATATTTTCATGGAGTAAGACCTGATCATTATAAATAATAATTAATAGCTGTCAATAATTTTAAGAATTATTAGCTGCCCAATTTTAAAACACAGTAACTGAAAAATTTTTACACCTAATTTTTTTTAATATTGCTGTATTTTTTATAACTTTTAGACCTTAATTTCAAGTATTTTTTTCTTAAAAATATTTATCTTCAAGTATTTTCTATTCATAAATCAAATTTTTCATTAATTTTGCAGGTAAACTTTTTTTAAAAATTTCCAAATATTAGTTACTATATTTTGACTATTAGTTACTATATTTTGTTACTAAGTTTTTACTGCCTGTAAAAACTTGATGATAATATTTGTACTGACTTCTGTCAGCATAATTATGGCAATTTTTTCACGGCAGATGTCTATACACGTTTTTTTTTTTTTCAAGGTCGAAAGACCTAAAAAAAATATAAAGACACTGTTTTACCCTCCGAATCAGCCTGAATAGCTTCTTAAGAAACCCTATAAGTCATATTTTTTTTCGAAATCGGGTTTATTACATTTTTCGGTTCTTTGAATTTCCCCTCACGTATACCAGTACCAAAAAATATTAAATCCGTGTTCAAGACCTGACCAAAATCGGTCGATACAAATCTCGTTTAGTTGAGAAACCCCACAAGTCATCAGTGACTTATAGAGTTTTTTGAATGAACGTTCAATTTAAAAATTCCAAATATGATTCTTTTTGTTTTTTTCTAAAAAAACTTTTTTTTGAATAGAAAAAATTCAGTTCAATGCAAAATAATTGAATTTTAATCATTTCTATAGTATTAATTTGATAAAGTTAAATTAAATTATTATTTTATTGTTTGATCAGATAATTAGAAACTAACTTTACTGTTGAATACTTAAATTCTAATGAGTTTGGCAATATTTGTTCAATGGATTAAAATTAAAAATATGTTGCTTTTTTTTGTTGACTCTGATTTCACGGATTTAAATTCTGAAATTAATGATTATCAAATAAAAAGACATATTTACTGTTAAATATTGATTTTGATTTTGATTTTGATTTTGATTTTGATAATTTTCGCAATTTAAGTTTTATAAAGTTAGATTGTGATAAAAGTTAAAATAATGTTTTATTGTTGACTCTCAGTTCATTAATTTGAATTTAAAAATAAATAATTATTATTATTTTTGTTAATTGTAATTCCAATACATATCTTTTACTTTATTTCATAAATATAATGAATGATTGACGGAGAAAAATTGGTAAATTAATGATTTTATTACTATTTTGTTCGTTTTGGTGATAAACCCCATAAGTCAATTAATAGCGTAAAATATTTGCATCTATAATTATAGCACAATTTGTTGAATTGTCCATTTAATACGAATAAGTGAGTAATAAGAATTTTTCTTAAAAATAAATGGGCGTTATGAGGCGTGCACTTTTAGATTTTTCAAACTTTATAGTTTAAACACAAACCTGCAGAGCCGTCCGGTCTCCGGTGCACCGTAAAGTGTGAGGAAAGTCGCAGGAACATTCAACATTTTTTTTCGTTATATTCGGACACTCCCACGGACTATCAAATTTTTCCGTCTGGAACGGCAGAGGCTCTAAAGTTGAAGAAGAAGTGGCCAGTGTAGTCGAGCTAGTTGCGTCTTCCGCGGTAATTTCGAAAATCCACAGCAAGAGCAGGATCGCTCGGACTGTAGTCGGCATTCTGTAACAACAAAAACAGTATTTTTAAACAATTATCACAAAAGGTGTGTAAAAATGATGATAAAATCCCGCGCCATCCGTCTTGCATCCTGCAAACCGTGAAATTCTCCCTTGACGTGAGAATGCCGCCCGAAAAGGAAAGGACGATTTCATTTGTCTAGAACCTTGATCCATAAATCAATCCCCGCTCCTAACTCAATTGCAGCCAACTTCACTTTCTGTCTTTCTGAGATAACATTCTAATACTAAAATACTAATATCTAACTTGTAATCAAAATTATCCAATATGTCTGATCAATTCTATGATAATCTCTGGCTGGAAACCAAAGAAGAAATCAAGCAAGTCATCAACCAGGATATGAAGGTGCAAAAAAATCCGGAATCGGAAGAAACTTTGAAGCAGATGATTCTGGTATTTTTCAGGTTAGTAAAATCTTTATAATTAATTACCTTCATCATCAAGCTTCCGAATTTCAAACTAAATTTTCTGCTAGGTATCGCCAAATAGTATCTTCACTACTTCAATGTTTCTTCCAAACCATCCCCCGCAAAAAGCTTGAAGTGATTGAGAAATTCCTAGGCTGCTCGATCGCCCGAATGCTGGAATACAAGACCCAACTTATGAAACACGAGTGGGTTTGCTGGAATTCAACTCATTAAATTACTCAACAATTAGCGTCAACGTGGGTTATTTGTGCAGGTGGCCAGGAGACTTGCTAATCAAAATGAAGCTCACACCCGATGATATTGACATACCAATCCCCAGCAAACGCAAAATCCTGCAGTCGAGATCAGACAACCAATTGGCGAAAGCTGTCTTGATGATCCAGAAGCACGAACGAGCCCGGGCTGCAAGGAGAAAGTTTTCTTCCAAAGTAGCTCCCCAAGAGCGAAGATCAATTGGATTTGAAGACCTGGACAAGTTCTGCAAAGCTGTGGTGACTGTCCAACGATTCTGGCGAGGGTATCATGCTCGCAAGCTTCTGAGACACCGAAAGGAACGCTTGGATGAAGTACTAGGGCTAGTTCCTGGGGTGAGGGACATTAAAGTGTTAAACAAGGACCAGGAAAACTTCAATCGCAGGCTGGAATTGCAGGCCCAGGTGCAAGAAGTGCCAGGGGATGAAAAAAACAGGATTTTCGAAGAAATGGAACCTGGACTGATGGAGGACATCACCGACGAGCTTCGGGAGTGGTTCAGGATCTGGTACCAGGAGGTAGGACACTTTGGAACCTTCCCACCGGCTGATCAAGGAGGTTCTGTTCTGATTGTTACTGAACAGGCGGGACAGGTGGTACCGATTGAAGGACCGGATTCTGAATTAGACAGACCAGAGTCTGAAGCTCTAGACACTCTGGTGCGACTTAGTGGACAGAGTTCGGAGGATTTGGAGCTGGATGACGATGTTTACTATCAAGTTCAACTGGAGGCGCGGAGGAAGGTGGATGACTTGATGAGGGAGGAGTTGAAGCGGCTGAACAAGGCCCTGGTGAAGGATTTGAAGAAGAACAAGGTCAAGTCCGAGGTTCCTAAGCCCAAGAAGAGGAAGAAGAAGAAAAAGAAGACGAAAGGGGTAGATGGTAGCAAAGTTAAGGAGATGTATGACGAGTTGGTTGGAAGTGGAATCATCCGGAGCTATCCGATCACCTACTGGGACCAGTGGGTTGGAGACACTTCTTACAAGTGGGAAGATATGGCCAGGAATGCTCGCTTAGGAGACGTCAAAAGAGCTGTGATCGATCACTGTGTTCTTCCTTTGATAACCAAGGAGGCCCACAAATTAGCGCCTCTGATAAGATCGGTCTGCATTGCTGGGCTACCGGGCTCGGGAAAGAGCATGCTGGCGAACATAATCTCCAGCTTAACAGGCGCTATTCTAATGGACCTGACACCCGGTAATTTAGACGGCTACCGCGGGAAGAAGAACGAAAAGAGACTCGTAAAAATGGTAATCGCCGTCGGGAGATCCTATCCTCAGGCTGTAATTATTTTGATCGATGGCGGAGATAAGCCCTGGTGGAAGAAGCTGCCACCGGAGGATAAGGAGGCCAAGCCGAAGAGGATCAAAAAGCTGCTGAAGAAGATTAGGAAGTCTATAAAATCTGGGGACCAGGTAGGTATCGTTTTATTTGCGAGTATAGGAGACAAATTGTTATAGGTTAAGATTATCTTAATTGGTAGGTAATTAGATAGAGTTCGGGTGATTGATCAACGGGGAATTTGATATTAGGAGCTCGGTTAGGTTTATGTTTATTAATCGAGCATGTCACATGGCTGGCTGGTTAATCAGGGTCTCAGACGGTGGGCACACGGGTTTAAAGTGTTATTTGTTTGTTTATTATTATACATTATCATTATATGTCTTCTTTTATTCATCTGAACCCGTGAATAGAGATAGCCTGAGAAGTTGTCTCGATTTTTCACTTCCCACGCAAGTTTATGGCGTCGATAACCTGTCGGCTCACTGCGGGCGGCCTTGGACATATGCAATCTTAAATTGAATACTTTTTTTATCAACAATTACTCTCTAAGTGGTCGAGTGTTTGCAAACCTAATTAACTAATGTCATCTTTTAATTTTTTATAAACTTCAATACGGAAAAATTACTTAAGACTTATCTTATAGAAAATTAAATTTTCTACAAAAAAAAGTCTTTAACAATATTTCCCTATTTCCCATAAAAAAAAAAAAAAAAAAACCACAAATTAATTATCAAATAATCAATTTAAAATTTGATGACTAAAAAGCAAAACTTTTCCAGCTCCTGATCCTCGGCCTGGCCTCAGCACCCTGGAAGACATCCAAACCCTTCTACAGCTTCTACACCACCTTCATCGTGATCCCTCCAACGGACCCCAGCTCGCTGAACCTCTTCTACCAGCAAACCCTTTCCAAGCACTCAACTTTCCCTGAATTATCCTGTCTCTCCCGCTTCTCCAACTACCCCCTGGGTGCTGTCCAAAAAGCCATCGAAGCTCTTCCCTTGAACACCAAAACCCAGCTCCCACTCACCCTCGCCCGCGCAATCTCCGCTGAATTAACATATTCAAATCCCACGCAGCTCTCAGCTATTAAGCAATTTAAAAAATTCGAAAGTAAGACCAAAAAAAAAAAGTAACAACTTTATCGCCATTTTAGTTAACCCCCGACCAGTTACTAAATAAGTCCCGGCAGCTCTTCTCGCCAGGTAGCTTTTTTGCCACCCTGTCGTCCCTAACATTTTATTCCTTTTTCCTTCGTTGTTAGCTTCTTGCATCTTACCTTTTGTCGCGTGGTCACTATTTATTCTCCAAGTTATTTCTCCAAGCCGTATCTTCACTGCTATCTTCACCAGATACACCTTTTAGGTTCACCGTTTTAGCAAATCGCTACACCCTTGTCCTCCAAACTTCCCTCTCTTGTCAACCATCGCTATTTTTTCACAATTCTTCACTAATGCACCACCAAACAATTTCACCAAATTCAAATCCAAATTACGAGAATAGACTTTGATATTGATTTAGATTTAGATAAACCGAAGAACGAACGGATGATGATGATGATGAAGAAAGGTGAAACGTAACTAAACGTGGTCGTGGAGCGGGGCCTGACTGGATACTGTCCAGTAGAATGGTCATGATATCGAGGAGGGATGGAGTGTCTTTTTCCACTCAACTCTTAACTCTTAACTCTTGGTTGTCTTACTTCTTAGCTCGCCTCCGCATATGTCCACCTCCTCCTTAGTTGTCTCGGTCTTGGTTTCATTCTAGAGGACTAAGACCAACATAACACGGTCCTTTCCCCACCGGCAGAATAAGGAGCCAGAGGTATATTATAGATCTCTCTTTCTCTTGCTGAAGAGCCGTCTCTGTTTGTATCTGGTGTCCCACGTCGTTGCCCGTTTCCACATAGCATACCCATGTATGGAACACACGACGTTCTCCGGCCCTACGCCCACTTACGGAGGCTACGCAACACACGCATCCAAGTGAGTGTCTGTGTCAGTGTGTGGGGACTTACACCACACACTCTATGAACAGTCCCACGAAATCTCAACTGGTATCGCCGCTAACCGTTTATACTCGATGCTATATACTTCGACTCGGTGTCTTCCTACAAGTACATTAAGCATTTTTAATCGTGGGAATGTACACACTTATTTTTTTTAAGTCATCTTCTATTGGATTGATTTTTTGAGGCTCACGAGCTCGAGTATGCTCAAGTTAAGCAGGGAGTTTGGGTTTTGAGATTATGATGATTCGAGGAACAATAACTTTATTTTTTGGCATACTGTAAGTTTATTTAAAAAATTTGGATTTTTGAAAATTTCTAAAGTCTTAAATCGCCTAATTAATTATTGATGAAAAATAAAATTAGGTATTTTAGAAAATTGAATGTACTGCGACCTAGATAATGAAATCCCGAGTAAAATGAACCCCAACAACCCCTATTAATCATCAGTCATTCATGGGATTAACGGCATTAATATTTTATTAATCGATTAATCAAAAATCGACCTGCGATGGATCAAGTCGAGCGACGGCTCATTTTATGCGGAAATACAAGAGGTTTTTAACTATTTTAATTACTTTGTTGAAAAATTAACAAGACATATTTTTTATTATCAACAACTATCATAAATGGGTCTCATTATATTGAAATAAATAAATAAATATTAAATTTAGTTTTTCATCTGCTACAAATCAATAACTAATTCATTAGAATTTCTGAAAGTATTATAAACAGTCATCTAAAATAAAATTGAGGACCTATAAAGAAATAAATTACAAAATTTGCGGTTAAAGTATTAATTAAAAAAATTTTCAGCATCTCAAATCGTTTTTTCAATGATTAACAAAAAAATAAAATTGTTTATTTTTAAAATCCACATGTACTGCGACCTAGATCATGAAATTCCGAGTGAAATGAACCCCAACAACCCCAATTAATATCGAATCCTTCATAGAATTAATGGCATTAATATTTTATTAATCAATTAATCAAAAATCGACCTGTGATGGATCAAGTCGCGCGACGACTCATTTTACGCAGAATTTGAAAAGCTTCTCAACTATTCAACTTATTATATCTGAAACCAATTATTTTCCGAAATTTTCAACAAATTCCAATAGTAAGAGTTAAATTTAATAAATTTTGAAAGCAACGATCTTCGATAAATAAGAAAAACTAAGAATTCATTCAGTCTCATAAAGAGTACCAACGGAACTCTTCTCTCAAGCGGAATAAAAACCCACAACTGGGTGTATAGTAGATGACAATGAACAAATCCGCCCACATGAGCATCCATAAAATTACACTCATTCGTTTCATAATTAAGTGTCCATCTGAAGAGGTGAATATTTAAAAAAATTCACAGATTTCTCGTGTCGGAAATAAGAGGTGACAAAACAAAAAATCTTTGAGCAGAATAAACTGCATTTCGTGGGCTAAAACGCGGCATAAATCCACGAAGCAAACACAACTTAGCGATATATAACCGTGACACTTTTGTCATATAAAAGTTTTATATTGCATCTGTGTGCTGGTGCGGGGACTACTACTATACTCGGCTGGGTAATCCTGGACACGTGTGGGAGATCAAGAATCAGCATATGTGAAGCCCAAGACTATAATTAATGAATGAAACGGGCTCTCATTTTTTTGCCGCCATACTATACTAGCGTAAGTAAGTATAAGTATGCTTATACGATCTGGCATCACATAAGAGGCCCGAAAAAATAATAAGAGGGACTTAACTCATACTATTAAGCTCGAAAAAAGAATGAATGAAAGTTTACTTTGAATACCCTTTCCCCCACTCCTCGCTTTCCTCTTCAACCTCCCCCCTCTTTCTTAACCGCAGCGCGTGTTGGCGCCCCTTCCGTAATTTATACGGAATTTCATAGTAGTAGTGAAAGGACAGTGTTTACATTATATATATGAAACTGGGCCTAGAATTTAAGCGATTAAGATCTTAACTCATTTTTTTTTTTTCACGATTTATATACATAGTAGGCTATCTTAATCGGATTTTTGGGTTTATTGGCTTATAGACAGGCATTTATTTCACACCTATTCTGAATAAACAATCTTTGGAGAGAAATTAAAATAATTTTATCGATTGCGAGGAAAAATAAGGAGATTTATACTCGAAATATTCAAATCTTTGGTAGCTCCTACATTACGAAATACAAACCGGGCTCCTGCCCACGCAAATTTTATTGATTATTAAAGAAAGTCGTTTTACTGTTTTAATAGTAAATTACCGGTATTTGTGTAAATTATCAGTTACGAAAGAAGGAAAATATTTTAGTTTCTTTAATTACATCTTTGTTTTCCTGGAATGAAAGATTTTTCGAAGTTACTAAAAATTTTAATGAAATAAGAAAATAGAGTTAATTTTACGTGCATTTATATTAATGAATTTAAAAAATAGTATACCCTTGTTGTTGGAATCTCTGAGCAAAAATGAACCCCAGTTTCAAAACTTTTACACTGATAGAAGGATTTATTAACTATTAATAATTTAATTTATTTAAAGACAGTTATTCAATTTATTAAATATTTTTTTACATTCAATAAATATTTATTTGGGAGAAAAGTACATTTATTAATAGTTAATAAGTATTTATTAACCATTAATAAATTACTTATTAACACTTAATAAATCGTATTTAATAAATAAGTAATTTATTAACTGTTAATAAATATTTATTAAATCCTCTGATGTTAAAAAATTTATTAACAGTTAATAAAGCTTATTAAATATTAACGAATCCTTCTATCAGTGTAGTTTTATACTTTAGATATTTTGTTCTTAGAAATATTTATTTTAGAAAGATAGTGAATTTTATTTTATTAGTTTTTAAATTTGAAAAACACATTTAAGGCATATTTGTGCAGCTAGAATAAGAGAGCCTGAATAGGCTTAATTGTATAACCTTAGGTATTTAAGATGTACAAAGGACTTTTTATTTTACTATGTACAGTACAACCAAATATTACAGTCTTAGTTAATAAGAAAAACATGTGTTTTACTAAGGACGATACAGAGGGTTAGACTTCACAATAAAATAGTTTTATTTTTATTTATTTATTTTATTTATTTATCTAGATCCTGGAGCTAACTCCTTGGGACCATATTTCTTTTACATTTATCACAAGGTTTTTAGCTATTTTAATATAATTTATAAATTTATAAAACACAGCATATACAGACATTAATTTAGTCTAAAATAAATATTATTTTTAGACAAATTATTAATTTTATTTCATTTTATTTCATTTTGATGAATTTTATTGAATTTTAATTAATTTACAAGCATGTATGGAATATACTCACATTCCATGCTTGTAAAGACTAACATAACATTATATTTAGTCTGCGACTAAACTCTGTCAAGTAACGACACTTCTCTCGATACGATTATTTTAAAATAAAGATTCTATTATAAAAAATTATTTATAAATATAGATTTGTATGGAATTGTAAAAAATTATTGCGGAATTCTTCCGGTAATTCCGCAGAAAATCTTGAGGAATTTATATTTTGATACAAATATAAATTTCTGAGGAATTCTAGATAAAATCATAGAAAATAATTTTATCAAATAAATATATAGTTAAAATATTTGATAAAAATATAATATTTTAAGCTTATGCTCAGAAAAACAAATTTCTTCTGAAGAAAATGAGCAACGTTGTAAAAATAAATTTATATGTTGTTACGTTCCCAAAAATAGGGTAATTAATTAAAAATTGTTCAAGTCCAGATTTTGACCTCGTTAGGATGTCAATAGACTCCAGGTGGGTCGTGTCACTGGTTTTCTCCGCGAAGTTACTTTTTGTATTTAAATTTATATGTTTTTAAAATATAATTGTAAATTAACCTGCCTCAGGTAGGTAATTTTGGAGTGCCTAAACGCTGACTAGCGCTTCGGCGATTTCACCAGGGTGGAAGCAGCTGTTAAAAGCGCTTCCGTCCTGGGGGATAAGGTTTTAATAATTATTCATATTAATTGATTGACAATTAATAAAATTTATTTAAAGAAAATAGGCAGGTTCAGCCTCGGACCAGCAGAGATTGCTCCTCTGCTAAGTCCGAGGACTGACTGCTCCAGAAGAAGTCTGAAGACAGAAAGATGTTAAATAATAATTACAAAGAGTTTATATAATGAATTTTAGCAACGCTGCATCTAAGGTTACCCTATGAGAACATCAACGCAGTCCAAAACCCACAACGTAGACTGTTTAGTCTACTGGGCTGCGTTGACGTTCTAGAAATTTGTTATCTCGAGGTATTTCCGTTACGAAATACCTCGGATAATAACTAATTGATTTAAAATAATTATTTATTAAATTTAAAATAAATTTAAAATTTACGAGAACGTAACAATGTTGAAAATTTTAAACAATTTTAATTATTAACTGAAGAAATAAAATTTTTCTCACAAAAAATTTTAGGAAAAACAATTTTGGATTAAAATTAGCAAATTTTCTATCCAAAATTGTTTTTTCCCAAATCTATAAAAATTTTTTTATGAGTAAAATTTTTATTTCTCCAGCTAAAAAATTAAATCCAGA